GTAAAGGGTAAAATAGAATTGTGGAGTAATAAGTTAGGGCATAATTGAAAAAAAAATAGGAAATAATCCCACCATACCAAATCGGTTGTTTAAAAAAAGGAGACTTTTCATTGTTCCAGAATAACGGATTTGACAATACAATACTGTATAGGGTCGAATTTGACCAATCACGTCCTACCGTCAGCATGACCAACCACTGAATGTTTACGATACGATACGAAGGAACGACCCAGGGGTAAGAGGAGGAACGACCTCGACCTGTCATCGGCTCCGCCATAGAGTACACTGATTTTGTCGTTCTCATGACTCAGCTTAGATCCCCCATTATATAAAAGGGATCCGGGTCTTGTAATAGGGAGATAACTGGTAATAGAAAAACTGATTCTCTCTCTCTGATCTTTATNCGTACTACCTATACGTACTACTAGTTAGACGTAACGTACTACGTACTACTCGTACGTACGTTACGTCTCTCTCTCTCTCTCTCTCTCTCTCTCTCTCTCTCTCTCTCTCTCTCTCTCTCTCTCTCTTTTATCATTATTACTGTTCCGATTATTGAAACGATCCTAGAGTTTATTGTTTTCGATTATGATTTACCCCTTCTTCTCTTTGATTGATTTGCTTGAAAAGAGTTTAACATCTTTTGAGTCAAACAGATACATTATTTACAGGTATTTGGTGAATTTCTCACATTTTCTTCTTCTTCTTCTTCTTCTTCTTCTTCTCATTCTTCTTATACAACTATATACATAGTGTATCACGAATATTTTTACTACTGTGATTATACATCTTTATACACTTTTATACAGCTATATACATAATGTACCTCTTTGTATAAATGTGTATAACATTGTATAAAAGTGTATAAGCATCTATGATGAACTTTTTGTACGATTTTCACTTGCAATTCTTGTATAAAACTAGTCCAAATCTCCAGCAAATAACTTCAAACTTTGTATACAACCTATTTAGACTATTTCTAATAAGTTCATACAATACCCACCTAAAATCCTAAACCCTAAACCTAAACTCCAAATTTCTCACAAAATCATAATCGAAATTTAAGAAGATTAGCATTGAACGAGATGAGATTTTAGGTTTCTCACGTCTGATTTTGCGTTTTGTAGTTGTGATAGGTATGTATAAACTTGAGGAAAAAAGAGAATAAAAACTCACGGATATTTCACGCCTAAAGATACACAAAATAAGAAAACGAAGAAAAAACAATTCCGAGAAATATTGATTATAAGAGAAGGCATGAATGAGTGTTGACTAAGTGTCTCGATCAATGGTTACACTAAAAATAGGGAACTGATTTTCGTTTTCATCTTTTGTTTGCATATGATACTTTTTTATTAATTAAATTAAATATTTATGGGTGAAAAATGAGGAGAGAGCTACAATACGATAGGTAGGTGATGAAAAAAAAGATGAGATTGTTATAGTTAGAGGGCATAGTAAAAGAAAAGGTCTTATTGATATTTGGCTACACATTTGCAAACTTGTAACTGGGCTAAAATAGTGCGAGGTCTACTTATGAAGTGCATTATTGTATAATTTTGTCTTGTTTATACATTAATACAAAAAAACGAAAGATATACAATACAAAAATACGTATTTGGCTTAAAATTGGAGAGATAGAGAGAGAAATTTAATAGTAATAAATAAACATAGTGAATTAAAATGATACTTATAATTTCAAAATCAATATTGTAAGCATCATTAAGAACAAAATGAGAGCTTATAAAAGAAGACGTGACGGGATATTTGCGATATAACTCATATCAGTATTATTTCTACAGAAAAAAAAAAAACGAAAACTAAACAAAGCACTTTAATAACTAAAGGAGAATGTAATTTCAAATATAGTTCAAAAAGACTTCTGCTAAGCTAATACAAGAAACCAGATGATCTTTCTCAGTATTGGGTCTCTCCACTATTATGGGCTTTTGAGTATGAATACGGTACCGTATCCTGATGTCATGGGCTTTGCTCACAAGTCACATGGCTGCTGCGAGTGGAAAAATTAATCCAAATAGTCGCCTACCCAACCACTTAAATTAAAAATAGCCGATGGAGGTATAATATATGCATAATTTATATATTATATGTGTATAATAATATATAAACTATATATATGACTAGAAAAAAGTAAACAATAAATATGAACAACTATTTGTGTAAAGATCAACGAAAGGAATTGTGTGGAAATTGACAAGAATAGCCCTGTAAGGGGCTAGTCTTAGCCGAATGTCCCAAATATTAACGGTAGTTATTGCTCTTCAAGGTTTTCCTACCGGATTAGTAGAGTTTATGCTGCCAGAGGAAAAGAAGGAAGGGATAATTACCAATTGCAGATTAATTCGACTCATTTTCTCATTCATTTCCTCCTTCTACTTTTTCTCTTTGATTTCATCCCTAAGTGAGGGAGTTTTAAGTACCTTGGGTCTATTAATCAGGGGGATGGGTAGATTGATGAAGATGTCACACATCGTATTGGGGCAGGATAAACGAAATAGAGACTCGCTTCCAGTTTGTGTGATAAGAAGGTGCCACCGAAACTTAAGAATAAGTCTACAGAATGGTGGTCAGACCAACGATGTTATATGTGGCTGAGTGTTGGCCAGTCAAGATCGCTCATGTCCAGAAGATGAAGGTAGTAGAGATAAGGATGTTGAAATGGATGTGCTGACACACCAGGTTAGATAGGATCAGAAATGAGGTTATTCTCGACAAGGTGGGTGTGGCTCCTATTGAGGACAAGATGCGGGAACCACGACTTAGGTGGTTTGGTCATGTGAGACGCCCCGGTGAGGAGGTGTGAGAGGTTGACATTGGAGGTCCTACGGAGAGGTAGATGTAGGCCAAAGAAGAGGTGAGGAGAGGTGATTAAGCAAGACATGGCGCAACTTCAGCTGACCGAGGACATGACCCTTGATAGGAAGGCATGGAGATCGAGGATTATGGTAGTAGAGTAGGTAGTTTAGAGTGTTCATAGTAGTATTAGTGGCACGCACTCTCGCTTTCTGTTGATAGTAGGTTTTTACGACTAACCGTTGTTTTCTTTCATTGTTGATCACCTTACAATCTTGTTGTTTTTATTCTGCTTTTATATGGCTTCTTGATACTGTCTCTTTTTGTTTATATTTTCATTAATGTGGCACTTATACTTTCCTGAGCCGAGGGTCTATTGAAAATAACCTCTCTATCCTCACAAGGTAGGGGTAAGGTAAGGTCTGCGTACACACTACCCTCTCCAGATCCTACGGTGTGGGATATTACTATGTATGTTGTTATTGTTGATTTTCTTCCTTTCCGCAATTTCCAAAATTCCATGTAACTAAAGGGTTATAATTGACTAACATAAGTTAGGCTTAGGTCCATCACTACCAGCACTTCCCTACCCACCGTCGGCACTAAACTTCTACCTAAAAGGATTTGCGCATTATTTAGTTAAAATAAAACTAGTGGTGTTACACCTTTGACTTTCTACATCATCAATATCAATTTGGCCATATTTATTCTCTCTCGTTCTCGTTGGTTCTGTGACTTAATTTCAAATGTATTAGAGATAAGCTAGAGAAATACAGATTATAAATTAAAGCACAAAAATGATACAAAACTTTGCTACATTGTTTTGTGTAAAAGAGATTCTCGTACAAGTTGAAACCACCAGCACTTTTATAAGATATGAAGAACTGTCCTATCATTGATTTACTTTTTATTTGTTGTTTCTTCTTTCCCAACCAAAAAAAATGTTTTTTTTTTTAAGATGGTTGTTTTAATTATAATTAGTATTAGAACCCGCGCGATGCACGAATAATATTTAAAAAATATTAATTATGTCCAACGATGGTCTGACTTTGCTTAGCATATTAGATCATATTATTTTAACAAAATTCTCAACCGTTATTTTGTATTCTAATGCAGTGTACCCAAAAACAAAATAGTAAAATTAAAGAAAACTAATTATATAGCATTTGATTAACTTTGTGTTTCTTATTTTAATTTTTTACATTATCGGCTATTTCGTATTATAACATTGATATAAAAGTATTTATTAATGACTTAGTATCATTGTCTATTACTCCATTTTATATATCATCGATATATATTTTCTTTCTCCTAATTTTTTTTATTTCTAAACTTTTCTAATAGTGTCAACAGTTTTTCGAATTTAAATCTAGGAGAAATTTGCTGATCCACTTTTTTATTGACAAACTATATTTCAACTAGGTAATACTCGTAACACGTTATAAAATTGATCTTTTATTGAAAAATTAATTCTTCTCCTAGTCTCCAACTATATAGCTAGTGAAAAGGCTCAATCAATTGAAAACAATTTGAGCTACTTGTAACATGTAGTGGTGGAAAAATAGATAAAAATAATAATAATTATCTATCCATATTATCCACTAAAATGAGTTGAATAATAGTTTTTTTTAAAAACAGATCAAATATGGATAAGAACCATATTATGATTATCCACTTAGAAAATGGATAGTCAATGAATAGCTAATGAGTTTAACGTTTACTTTATAAAGACTCAAATTGGGGTTTCCTCAAATTTGGAAAACTAGGAATTCTCCCAAAAGTGATCATATTCAAGAAATCATTGGTAATATGGATATCTATATTATTCACCGATTAATCCATTTTTTATGCGTATTAAATATGGATCGGTTCGAATAATTTATCCATTTTTTATTACTATCCACCCATATTTGACCCGACCCGACAATTTGCCACCCTAGTAACATGCATAGCTACTTACCATGTGATATGAACTTTATAAATACTAATGTTTGCATCCTCCATTAATGCATCAGCCCAACTAAATTAATTAAAGCTCTACTATCTCTACTCTCCATATTTTTAGTACATAAACTAACTAGTATTCACATTTAAATAAGTATTTGCTTGGTAACAAAGGGAAGGTGAGATGTGATTATCAAAGCCAGCACATGTAAATGGAGAGTATATAGTCAGCAATCTTAGGCCCCCCACCAAATTCTAATAGCTGCCAATTTTGATGATATCATGACTTTCAACTTCCATTTAGGACGTGTTCCTACTCTATTCCTTCTATTTTATTACTACCATTTTTTCTTCATAAGATATTTTTCTCCATCATCTTCCTTTCATACTATTAATTAAAACTATACTGTTTTCCTCCTCTCTTTTCTCCACTAATTCCTAGCTCAGCACAAAGAATTCAATTTTTTTGTAAGCTTAGATCAATCAAGAATCAATCATGGGTGGTGACAAAACTGAAAAGGTATGATCTTCCGCAGCTCTTTTTCCTTCTATATTTCCGTTGGTCAACAACCAACTAAAGTGCTCTACACCAAAGGCGGAGCTAGCTTATTAGGTTCGGGTTCGGCTGAATCCAGTCACTTTTACGTAAACACTATATTTATATTACAAAATTCATTAAATATGTGTAAATATTTAATTGCGAACTCAATAACTAAGACGAGCTATAAGTTTCGAGGCAAATTCAGAACTCATAAACTTTAAATCTTGACTCCGGCTCTGCTCAAAATACTTCTTCACTACTCGTACAAGAATTTCTTTTCAACAATAAACTAGCTTATTATTGCATAATATCGTTTAGTGAATTAATCTTTCTATAATTAATGGTTTAACAGACCACTGTAATGGTGCTCAAGGTTGATCTTCAGTGCTCCAGCTGCTATAAGAAGGTCAAAAAAATTCTCTGTAAATTCCCTCGTAAGTCTCTTTTACTTGAATTTTCTAAGTAAACTATAGTTATCCACTATTTTTCTTTATGTTTTCTTGAAATTCTATTTCAAAATAGATGGACAAAATCAATCATGGAATATTATGATGGAGAAAATATATATGATCCTATGGATATGAATTAATTTGATTTTCTTTCTATTTTTGTGATCTTAAAATTTTTCGGGCAAGAGAAATTAGAGACCAAGTGTATGATGAGAAGGCCAATACAGTCACAATCACTGTGGTATGTTGTGATCCTGAGAAAATTCGTGACAAATTGTGTAGCAAAGGATGTGGAGTAATTAAGAGCATTGAAATCAAAGACCCTCCAAAGCCGAAAGCTCCTGAAAAGCCCAAGGAGCCTGTGAAACCCAAAGAACCCGAGAAGCCCAAACAACCGGAGAAGCCTAAAGAGCCCGAAAAGCCTAAACAACCTGAGAAGCCTACGGTTGTCATCATTGAAAAGCCCAAAGAGCCAGAGAAGACTAAGGTACCGGAAAAGGCGAAAGAGCCCGAAAAGCCCAAAGAACCAGAAAAGCCGAAAGAAGTTGAAAAGCCAAAGTCGAAAGAGCCCGAAAAGCCCAAAGAAGCTCCTAAACCTAATCCAGTTGCTCCACCATCACAACCACCACCGCCGGCACCAGAGCCAATAATGGTAATGCCAATTCAAGAATACCCTCCGCCACCACCAGGATATTGTTGTGGACAATGTTACGAGGGTCATATCGGGGGCCCATGTTATCAATGGTACGGAAGACCGGTCCCTCCGGCCCCATGTTACGATAACTATGGGTATAACTATGGGCCTGGGCCTGGGCCGTATGGCTACGGAAGGGGCTGTTACGTAAGCAGATGTGACCAATACTTTAGTGAAGAAAATGCCACAGGATGCTCAATTATGTAATGTACCTTTTGATTGGGCTCCTCTTAATGTGGCTGTCTTTTTCCTTATAGATTGTCATAGATGAAAAACAATGTATAGATATATGTTCTTTTTTCCTTTTCTTTTGTAAAATAGAATAAAAGTTGTTTACCAGATTGCTGGTAAAGCTTTGATTAATAAATGTCAATTTTCAACATTACTAATGGCCTAATGTATCTATTATCTATTCCTTTGTTTCCACTTTATTTACATGAATGCATAGATATGGTTTCTAATATCTTCTGCAGTTTTTTTTCATAGCCATTTATATTTTCTCATAGGAAACAAAACATTATTTGACAAACTATGTACCTTTGTTGAGAAAACAAAATTTGTTCATCGTATTTTATTCCATTTTCCCCTTTAAGCCACAAAATTTCATTTTAATTATAGAAAGAATTATGTGGAGTACGTGAATGGTTTTCTAAGAAAAGTAGCACACCTTCTAACTTTTTTCTTCTATAGTTGTATTAGAAACAAAATTTATTTATTGACTATTTTTTCATTAGGCAGATAAAAAATTAAGATAATAAACATAGTTCACCTTAGTGGGGTCACATTTGATATGATGATTTCTCAAAATTCTCTGTAAATTCAATTGTAATCCTCTTAATGATGTATAATCACAAGGAAGCCGCTCAATGGGGATCATGGCTTACCAATTCATACATTGCTATATTAAAATAATTAAGTGTCAAGGTAATGAGTATCATGTTTTTGGAGCAAAAAAGATACTCCTTCTGTTTTAATTAAAATGACACACTTTTTTTATTAGTTAATTCTAAAAATAATGACACATTTCTATATTGAAAACAACGGAACTTACAATTTTTCATTTTACCCGCTTTACCCTTAGAAGCTTTATATCCACACAAATATCATGGCCCTACGAAACTTTTGTCCTTTGCTTTTAGGACCAAAGTTTCAAATTTTTTTTTGTCTTTTTCTTAAATTTTGTTTCAAGTCAAACTATATCATCTAAATTGAAAGAAAGTAATTAAGCCCACTTGTTCTAGAATTTGTGCAAGTCTTCCTTGAAGCATGAAAATGACATTTTATTAAACTTAAAACCTTTATAGTTACCATTTTGTAACTTGAGTCATGAAAGTGACAATTTGAATATCACTAAATTTAAATTCTAACTATAATACTTGTTTGAGCTCATTCGCTCTAACAATACATACTGTAAAAGTTTGAGGGGTAAAATTTATACAAACCTAAACCTTAAGGGAGCAATAAGTAATTCATCATTTTTATCAAATTCATCTCACCAGGAGTTGATAAGACGGCAAAGCTAGGCTTGTTCCTCCTCTTCTACAGCTCAAAGAAAAAATGGCGTCTACTCCAAGCTCTACACTATTATCTCCTCTCTACGAATCCAACACCTTCTGCAACTTCACTTCTCTCCAAAAACTCAGCTTTCCCCTCAACAACAAGCTTCTTCACTCAAAATCTGTTACCCTAACAACAACCCATGTCTCATTACAAGAACAATCCGACATTTCAAATCCCACTAATTCCCGAAAAACCGCATCTTCCTCAAAAAGTAGCTACATCTGGGTCAATCCCAAAAGCCCTAAAGCTTCTCAGTTGAGGCAAAAATCTTACGATTGCAGGTATGTTTCCCTAGTGAAAATGGCTGAGTCTTTGGATTCTTGTAACCCTGTAGAGGAAGATGTGATTAACGTTTTAGCTGATTTGGGTGATAAAGTAGTAGAGCAAGATGCTGTAGTGATTTTGAATAACATGTCTAATGCTGAAACTGCATTGTTAGTTTTGAAATACTTTCAACAAAGGTTGAAATTGAGTAAAGAGGTGATTATTTATAACGTGACATTGAAAGTTTTGAGGAAAAGTAAGGATTTGGACAGAGCAGAGAAGTTGTTTGATGAAATGCTTCAAAGAGGGGTGAAGCCTGATAATGTAACTTTCTCTACCATTATTAGTTGTGCTAGGCAGTGCAATTTGCCAGAAAAAGCTATTGAATGGTTTGAAAAGTTACCTTCTTTTGGGTGTGAACCCGATGATGTGACTTACTCTGTGATGATCGATTCATATGGTAAGGCTGGTAATGTAGATATGGCATTGAATTTGTATGATCGTGCGAGAACTGAGAAGTGGCGTATAGATGCTGTGACGTTTGCTACGCTGATTAGGATTTATGGGGCTGCTGGAAATTTTGATGGGTGCTTGAATGTGTACGAGGAAATGAAAGCGCTTGGTGTGAGGCCTAATATGGCTGTGTATAACAGTTTGTTGGATGCTATGGGAAGAGCTAAGAGGCCATGGCAGGCGAAGAACATCTATGCGGACATGCTAAGCAATGGGTTCCAACCAAGTTGGGGTACCTATGCTTCCCTCATTCGGGCCTATGGTAGGGCTCGTTATAGTGAAGATGCTCTTAAGATCTATAGAGAAATGAAGGAGAAGGGATTGGAGCTGAGTGTGGTGCTATATAATACTCTTCTGGCAATGTGTGCTGATGTGGGGCTTACAGATGAGGCTGTTAACATTTTTGAGGAGATGAAAGCCTCAGGGACTTGCCAACCTGACAGTTGGACGTACTCTTCTCTAATCACCATAAACTCTTGTAGTGGGAAGGTCTCAGAGGCGGAGGCCACATTGAACGATATGATGGAAGCAGGGTTTGATCCAAATATCTTTGTCCTGACCTCACTCATCCAGTGTTATGGAAAAGCAGGTCGGACAGATGATGTTGTAAGAACGTTTGATAGACTGTCAGATTTGGGATTATCTCCAGATGAGCGGTTTACTGGTTGTCTTCTTAATGTGTTGACGCAAACACCAAAGGAAGATCTTCATAAGCTGACTATCTGCCTTGAGAAGGCAAATCCGAAGCTTGGTTATGTGGTGAAACTCCTGGTGGATGAAGAGGCTGTTGAAGAAGGGATATTTAAGAAACATGCTGCTGAACTTTTGGATTGTGTAACTACTGATGTCCGGAAAGCTTACTGCAACTGTTTGATTGACATCTGCGTCAACCTTAATCAGTTGGAGAGAGCTTGTGAGTTGTTAGATATTGGGCTAACTCTCAACATCTATGCTGATATTCAATCTCGAACTGCAACTCAATGGTCTTTACAGTTGAAGAGCCTCTCTCTTGGGGCAGCTTTAACAGCATTACACATCTGGATGAATGACTTGAACAAAGCGCTTGAAAATGGGGAAGAGTTCCCATCACTGCTTGGAATCAACACAGGACATGGAAAACATAAATATTCTGAGAAAGGTCTGGCAGGAGTATTTGAGTCACACCTTAAGGAATTGAATGCTCCATTCCATGAGGCACCAGATAAGGCCGGGTGGTTTTTGACTACAAAAGTTGCAGCTACATCATGGTTGGAGTCTAGACGTGCTCAAGAGGTGGTTGCTGCTTAGCAATGGGTGGAGTCCACGATTATTTTGTCGCTCTTACTTTGATCAAGGATCTTAACCGGGCAGGTTCTTTGTTCTCTGGCCTTGATGATTCTTGTGCTACAGAGGTTTTGTACTCTTACGTCTGCAAGGTACCTTCCGTAGATTATTCATTGTTTAGGATAGCTCTTGTTTCTAGATGGGAGTTTTGAATTTTGAGTCCGTTAGCTTTCCTATAAGGATTCTAGTGTATCTCTTGCCATCAGCAATAGAAAAAGAATTGAGGAAAAATGAACGAGATATCATATTAATATTTGGCTTCTACCATAATATCTAATCATATCTTGTATAGGACAACATTAAACTAAACTGATGGAAAACTTGGAAGATGTTTTCTGTCATAAGTTACTGTTTTATTCATACAGGAGTATTTGGTACCAATTAACTGTTTTCATTTTACTGGAGTAAACATAACTAGCTCTTTGTATAAAAAAGCCGGAGCGGCAGATATCTTTTCTTAATATGACTGAGTTAAATTTGTTGACAAGGATGTCCATTGTCTAATACACAGATATCCATCCATGAGTTGTGATGACAATAACATTTTTCTTTGCTTTCCCAAAGGAACCTTTCTTGCATTTCGGTCAACTGAGAAGAGCCTTTAAAAGTAGAATCCTATTTTGCATCCTGGTTTCCTATAATATGCATTGTTTTTACGCATGCACATATTTCCTGAAGTTAATGTCAATAGTTCAATTACACAAGAAAATTTAGTATCAGAGATAAAAATGAGCATACTCGCTGTACATTGTACAACGGAGGGCACTGCTGATTAAATACTTGCAAACATTGGCACTTACCCAAGTGACTAACTTTGAGATTAGCATCAAGCTGTTCAGTTTTGCTGATAGCTTTATTTTTTTGGGGAAAGAAAGCTTGACCTGCATTTGATCCATCCATGGTTTGAGGCAGCATCAGATCTCCTGGTGAATATGAGAATATCCGTGTATCCTCTTTCCACCTCTATCCGATCTTCATCCTGCCACCCCTGTATTGTTATCCAATCTATCCTCCTCACCCCCGTCTTCCACTTTCTGAGCCTATCGCCTAATCTTTCTCCACAGCATGATCTGCCATTTCCGTTACATTTGTTGTTCATGCCTCCGTTTTTTAAATTTTCTCAAATCCTTCTCATTGTTGGTTAACCAATTCTCAGTTCTGATAAACCATGGCTCAATTGACCTCACTTTGCCTCATCTTGAGAAGATCATTTTGATGTCTTCAACATTGTTGAGGAATGGTTCGATATGCTCCTATCAGCTACCCAAGACGACAAGCACTGGGTCAAGAAAGTCAGAGCTAGTTATCCTCACCAAATGTGCACTTTGTGGAAATATTTGAAGGTCACTATGTGTATCTGGATGTTCAACTTCATTTGGTAATGGTATTTCGTTTTCCGTCTCACTGGCTATTTAGCTATGATGTTCGGGAGACGTCTCCATATATATGTTGTCGAAATGTAGTGAAACAACTATGACGATTTTGGCAGTGTTGAGAGATCACACATGATTAGTGGATTATTCAAGATTTTATTTTTGTATTTTCTTTTGCTTTTCAGTTTTAATCACCTAAAAACTTTCTGACTCTGAGTTGGAAAAGAGCTTGTTGGGGGTTTTCCTTGTGTAGTTTCTCTCCTCGATATAAATCTTTTTTAGTCTGAGGAACTGAAGTTTGATAAACAGAGGTTATAGCTAAGTTCATCGTTCTGTAAGTTTCCTCCTCTTCATCTTAGACTTTCTTCCTCGTCGGGAA